CTTCTCTTTCAAGCATTTCTCCAAGATAAATAGCAGGATAACAAAGATAAATTAGGATGATGTTAACATCAGATAGCTAATGCACAAATAAGAATTACTATACTCTATGGTACTTATAAACACTAGAATACATACTAAGGTATCATTTTTATTTTTTAAGAGCAGAAACACACCCTCACCCACACAAGAAGATGAGGATAAGAAACAACCATCTAGGGGCTGGGGATTTAGCTCAGCGGCATAAGTGCCTGCCTTGCAAGCAGGCAGTTGTGAGTTCGATCCCCAGTACCGGTAAAAACAAAAAAGGCAAAAAAAAAAAAAACAAAAAACAAAAACCAACCATCTAGAGGGATTTGACTTTCCACTATTTGTTTCTTATGATACGATTCATTTCAAATGAGTACAATCTTATTCATTTCAAATAACCATAAAAACCCAAGAGAAACATAATAGCCAAAATCTATTCATCATTTTCCCTCCAAAAAAATAAAACATATTTTTAAAAAATTCTTCAATAAAGTAGCTTTTTACACACATATATTAGTTATTAAAGACATTAATTCCTGGGATGATGAATATAATTTTAATTATCAACTCTATTTTCTGCCACAAAGATTTTAAAAAGTAGCAAATAATTCGCAACAGAAAAACATTTTAAAATACATAACATAGGAAAAATGAAATCTATATAGAAATAAGCTCAGCTAAACCAGAGTATACAATTCTAAACTAGTATTATATATAACATAAAGGAATATGTGTGTGTGTATATATATAGATATAGATATAGATATATTTAAAAATGAGATCATGCACTATGAACTATTTCGTAATGTTTTTTCACTTAGAAATAATAAAAGACTTTTTAAGCAGTCACACACCTACATTAAGGAATGAATGATATCAAACTATACTAATATACGTTACTAGATGTTTTGTACCAAATCTTACTATACAAACAATATATTGTGTTAAATATACCCATATCTGAATCCCATAATACACCCATGATTACATCATCTTATGTTTTATTTTCAAATGCCACCCCCTCAAGCCTCATGAAATCATGGACACAGACAAATCCATTGTTTGTGACTGGTTTGTTGTCTAGCACTCGGATTGGTGCTATGAGTGTTACACCCATACAGTGAGCCAGCATACAGTGTAAGGGAGGAAAGAAGGCTTGTCCTGTCTTTTGCAGTTAATTCTTGGGTTCGGTGCTGCCATGAACCATTGCCCCTCAGGCATGTCATTTTGCCTTGAGCCAACTGAGTATGGACTGAAACTTCCAATCTGTAAGATATAAATCTTCCCTTCCCAAACTTTGGGCACCAGGTATTTTGTCTCAACAGTGAGAGGAAAGTAACCAAGACACATCATCAAGTCACAATTCTAAAAGTGGAACTACGTGGTTAAAAGGTAGGCATATTTTAAGGGATTTCTGAGCCTTACTGAAAAACTGACTACTTAAAAGAATACAGTTTACATCGTCACAAGCAATGTCTCACAATACCTACTTTCAGAAATTTTTCACAAATACAGAACTCGAACATTTTTTACTTACTTTTGGCAAGTTTATGACCTTTTCTCTAAGGATTTCATTCTTTGGGATGATCTTTTGGTATGATTCAAACAAGATTATAAAAAAACAAGATTGTATTGATTTCCACATAATTTATTTTTTTCAAAAAATGGAAACAATAATTCCAACAGAATTCATTTTTGTATCTAAGACAGACTTTACTAAATTGACACACAAATTGTCAGACATTTTATCAAATGCCATTTTTTGAAAAATCTTTCATAGACTTTGAAATATTTTTAGAGTTTGAATTCTAATCCTTAATCTGTCAGTCTCTTCCAGTTTGAGAAAGATGCTAAAATATTTTGCTTTATAACATTTTAATATCTAATAGGAAAATATCAAACTGAAATTTTCTTTTCCATAATTTTTTATGAAATATTGTCCATTTTTGCTTCCAAATCAATTTTAGAATTATTCTGCTTTGATAATTCTTCCAATGAATTCACTTGGTACTCACAATCTTGAAAAAGCCTGCTACGGTATAAAATCTTCCTATTCTAAACCACTGTGTGCATTTTTGCATGATAGAATTTCTTTGTGATATATTCTTTCCCTTCTATTGATTATTTGCTAAGTAGACACATGGAAAAAATTTCATTGTTTATTAATTAACCAAATTTGTTTATGGCAACAGACACTAAGCTTTGCATGGCTGTATATAATAATTATAACTTAAACTTTGTTAACCTCATTTGATCAAATTTCTAAAGCTTCATTGAGAAGCATCTTCACCCCACTCCTATTGTTCATATAAATGTATGTGTTCCACTGTAAAATGTCTAGTAACTGCTAAATTTCAAATAGATATAATTTATCATAGTGTTGAAAACTGTACAGTTTATATTTCACTATTTTATATTTGACTTTACATCAAGAAATTAGGCTGGATTTTATATGATGCACTTCTACAACATAACAAGATACTTTATCTCCTTTATCTACTAATGTGAAAATCATATTAACAGATTTTAAGCATCCTGAACTATCTTTGCATTTCTAACATAAAGTCTATTTCGAAATGCTAAATTACTTCTCTCTCTCTCTCTCTCTCTCTCTCTCTCTCTCTCTCTCTCTCTCTCATCTCTCATACCAGGCACTGTGACACTCAGCTATAGCCCTGGGCCCCTAAATTAATTTCTTAAAACACCTGAAATTGACTTTCAAAACTTGTCTTACTTTTATTTAGAATTGTGAGGTTCATTTTGAAGGGTTTTTGTACAGGTTTTGCTGAGTACTGGTACTAGGATGGAACTAGAAGTGACGTAAGTTTCTGCAGGTGAATTCTCTCATCAAGAACAATTAGAAAAAAGAAACATGTAAAAAATGAAGACAAAACATTTCTTTAAAGACACAGAAGTACTATGGAGCAGGAAGACTAAAGGGAATAAAGTAGAGACACCAGGGCCTTCATATGTAAGCTTCAGATCTGCAGCTGTCCCCGGGAACTAAAGCTCTACATAGGCAACAAACAGAAATCAGATTCAGATAAAGAGTTGGTACGAGGAGTAAATAAACCATTAATTTTTCCCTTCTCTCTCAAGAGATTAAAGTACTAAAGTAGAGATCTAAAGGCCAGGTTCCCCTTCAAGACATTTGCTGTAAAAGCTACACAGCTGAGTAAACTGAAAATTGAAGAGTTAAACCCTTTGAAAAGCAAAGTGAGTCTCCTAAAATCACACAGTGCTTCACAGAAAATGACCCACTAGTTGAAGAACACATAAGAATCTCAAGAAGAGCACAATCCATTAAGGCTATAACAACAAAACACCATGGACTAGTTAGCTACAACAAAATTTTATCTCTTAGAGTAGTAGAGGCTGGGGAATCCAAAATTATGATGTCAGGAGACTCAGTTTCTGTTGGAGGTCTACATCCTATTTGATAAAAGGCACCTTCTTGCTGTATCCTCAGATGATGTAGGTAAAAAAACTGCTCTCAGGAGCCTCTTTAATAAGAACATTAATTTTATTCATGAGGGTGCCTCCCTCATAATCTGTCATACCCAAGGACTCACTTCCTATTACCATCATATTGATACTTGTGTTTAACATATGAATTTAGTGGGTATACAAACACTGATACTGTAGGAAGCCCTGACATTCTTGAAGGAGTAAGCTTTGATAGCAACATTTTTATCCTATTGTTAATTGCTAATCTGAGTACTGCGAAGACTCTTTCCCAAAGCATTTGCCAAATTTTAAAACTAAAGAAGGCAGGATGCTGAATAAATATGGTTCCACTGAAAAGAAGAAATTTCTACAGTCTTTGGTGCTGAGAAAAAGATAATGTGCCAGGCTCTCATTAAAAGCCTTAAAGAACCACGTAGCAACAGGGACAATCAGAGACACATTACATGTACAACTCAAGCTTTATCCAGATCAGTTCATAATTGACTGGGTTTAGGTGACCACTTTCAAACCACATCTCATATGCCCATTATTATACTTACTCAACAAACGAAAGAATAAAACTTTTCTGGTAGAAGATATTATCAATAGAGATCTCTACCTTAAACACAATGTTTAACATCAAGCAAACAAAAACAATACCACAAGACTGAAAACCAAGAAAAAAAATCAAAAACAAATCAACCAATGTCATGGTTTATGTCTGTGTCCCCCCAGGCCTCATGAGTTTGAATTGTGCATTTGTTATTGGTTCATTGTCTAGTGCTTGGATTGATGGTGTCAGTGCTCCACCCACAAAGGGGTGGAGCCAGGATGTGATGTAATGGCAGGAAGAGGTGTGTCTTGCTCTTTACTGATTCAAGCTTGCTGTTTGCAGTTGTTTGCAGTCGCCATGAAAGGCGGGCCAGCCATACCCGCCTGCCTGGGAGCCAACTAAGTGTGGACTGAAACCTCCAAAAACTGTAAAAAATAAACCTTTCCTTTCCCAACTTGGGCATCAGGTATTTTGTCTCAGCGACGAGCATAAAGTAACTAAGACAACCAACATGTAGGTAAATAAGCCATAAGAATCAATAAGCAATGACTTTTAATAAGCAAAACTAATATTTGCAAAAAACAAGGACAAATTAGATAAAAAGATTTTTATTATAGAATTTTGGTTTATAAGAAAAACAAAGGACATTTTAAAAGTAAAAGATGTCTGAAACTCTAACTCATAAGTTTCTTTTTTATTTTTACCAAGGTTTTCATTATATCTTCACGTGAAATTATCTTCACGTTAGCAGGAAGACATTATAGTAGGAGCCAATTTCAGAATAAACAAATTGAAACAGTCAATGAAAAAATAATAGTAGAGTTCTCTATCATTAAAGTTGATAAATACAATGTGAACCTGTATATACCAAAGAACTACCTGGCTAGTTACATCAGAAACTAATATTTTAAACCAGAGTTCAAAAGAACACTTTTCTATATTGAAAGGCAAAATAAGAACTGTTGTCACTTACAGGAAGATGTGTGAACACAGCAAAGGTGCTGCGCAGAAAGGCAATGAGGTCTATCAAGTAATCACTAGCTTTGTTGTCCAAATCTCCTGTCATCCAGTCATAGTCTGCCAGCTGTAGAAACTGGTCAATTTTCTGGTTTAAATTTGTATAAATCTCTTCCTCAGCTGCATGCCTAGCATCCTGTGAAATAATACGAAATTTGACAACGTTATTCGGGTGTTTCAGATTTCCAATATGAAAAAGGCAGAAATTTATGTGACTGGAGCTAATTCACATTTATACTCATCAAGTAACACAACTGGGGATACTGAGGAATAGCACAGTCTCCATTACTTTTTGTTTTCATAAAGCAGTATAGTAGTATAGGACCTCTCCCCCCTTCTCCTCCCCTCCCCTTCCCTCCTTTCCTCTCCTCTTTTGTCCTTTCCCCTCCCTTCCCTTCTCCTCTCCTCTATTCTCTTTTCTTCACTCACTACCCCTCTCTCATGTTAACATGCTATTCTTTTGCCTCATTAAAAAGGAAAACTACCTTGGTGCGCTTAGAAATCTGCACCTTGTTTCTTATCTGTGTTCAAAACTAAAGATACTCCCAAGATCCTGTGCCTTTTCAATTCTTCTATCACTCTAAAAAATCTCCTTCCTGCAATACTAGCCTCTCTATATGCACTAGTTTCTTCACATTGCTTATAAATATATTTCAGTTTCAATTTAATGTTATACAGTCTCACTGGTAACTGTCAGAGTTCTCTGTTTTCTGTATAATCAAATTTTTTCAAATGCTGGTACATTGTGATGTTTCCTAAAATACTCTGCATGTAAAAGTAGCCCTAAGAGATGATAAAAATATACCAAAGAGTTCCGAGACCACTTCAGTGTGAGATACCCTGTACAAGAGATTCATTATGAGCACTAGTTCTAAGAAGTGTGACTGTGTATGTTTTTAAACAGGACAAATGTGTTCTGTGGATAGTCAGGAAGCTAATACAAAAAAACTGGACAACAGGGACAGATTTAGAAGTGATAAACTGCTTGTACCACATCCAATATTTATTTTTCAGTATGATATTAACATGATCTTTATTAAATTGTCCACTGAAAACTCTGAAATATGTATGTATTGTTGAAAGGCTAAATGGAGCTAGTAACATGTTAAGCTTATCAACATGCATCAATTGAGCTATTGAACACATGCAAACTTTCACATATTTGTCACTTTTTTATAGTAAGAATACTTAAAATTTACCCTCTCAGAGGTTTTCAAGAGCATAAAACATTCTTAACAACTATAGTCACTGTATCATTCCATACATTTCTTGAACTAATTCCTCCTATCTAAAATTTTGTGTTCTTCCAGTAAAATTCCCAGACTCTTCCTCAATCCCTCTCCAAACCCTCCTCAACACCCTGGAAACAGGTCTTCAGCTCTCTTCTTCCATGAGATTAATGTTTTAGATTCCACATACAGTATGAGGGAGATCATGAGGTATTTGTCTTTTTGTGCTTCTCAGTTCACTTAACATAATGTCTTCATGGTTTGTCCAAGTCGCCACAAATGATAAGATTTCAATTTTCTTAATACAAAACAGTTTCCTCTGTGTACACATACCCTATTTTCTTCATCCAACCACTGATAGACACATAAGCTGATTCCTTATCTTGGCTACTGGGAATAGTGCTTTAATAAACATGGGAATTTAGGTCTCCTTTCAACATACTGATTTCATTTTCTCTAGATACATAACCAATAGTGGGATTGGTAAATCATATGCTAGTTTTACTTTTTTTTTTTCCGAAGAATTGCTTCCTACCAAGTATAATGTGATATCTCATTATAATTTTCCACTTCATTTCTCTAATGACTAGAGACATTGAGCACTTTTTTCACATACCTCTTTGATTTGTATATCTTACTTTGAGAATGTCTATTGAGGTCCTTTGCTTTTTTTAAAAAAAAAATTGGCTATACGGTATCTGGCTGTAAACTTGTCTGAGTTTCTTATAAATTTAGGATGTGGGTTCTTTTTTCTTTGTTGTTTTGTTTCTGAGTTCTCTGAGAGTGGTTGTCATTGAATGGTTCTCAAATGAGGTCTTTCTACACTGCCCAAGCTGGCCTTGAAGTCCCACACTCAAGCAATACTTCCTGTTTGAACCTCCTAAGTAGCTGTTATTATAGGTGCACACAGCTTAAACTTTGGATTGATCCTTTATCAGATATATGACATGAAACTATGTATTTTCCCTTCTGTAGGTATTCCTCTTTATTTTTGTTTTCTTTGTTGGGTAGTACTTTTTTAGCTTGACATAATCTCACCCATTTTTACTTTTCTTGCCCATACCTTTACACTCATATATAAAAACGTTCTTACACAAGACAATGTCATAGAGCTTTTCCTCCATGTTTTCTTTCAAGTTCTTACATTTCAGTTGTGAACAGCTTTAAATTTACTTTTAATACAGTGTGAAATGCAGAAAGTTTTAATTCTCACACAGTAATTTGTCTTCCCAACTCCAAAAATTAAATAGACTGTCCCTTTCTCTGTGTGTTTTGACCACTCCATCAAAACAAAATCAACTCATGAAGCCAGTCACAGTGATACACACCTATATCCTAGCACTCTAGGAGGCTGAGGCAAAAAGATCACAAGTTTGAGCCCAGTCTGGGAAACTTAGTCAGATTCTATCTCAAATAGAAAAAGACTAGAGATGTAGCTCAGTGCATATAGCACATTTTTACATACTTATCTGTCATCTGTACGTCTTTTTTGGTGAGGGATTTGTTCAGAAGTTTTACTCATTTTTAAGTGCTTTGTTTCTTTTGTTATTCTTGCCTTTTAAAAGTCCTTTGTATACTTTACACACAATTCATTTATTACACGTGTTTGAGAAATATCTTCTCCGAGTTTATGCCTTGTCTTTTCTTTCTCTTAACCAGGACATTCTCAGAACAAACGTTTCTAATTTTAATGAAGTCCAATTATCAATGCTCTTTTCTGTACATGCACTCAGTATTGTTTCTAAAATGTCACTGCCAAACCTATACTCTTGCGTTTTACATTCAGAATTTACATTTTCAGTTAATGTTTTATAGAAGATGTAGGGTCTGAATCAAGTTAGTTGCTACTTTGTTTTCTTTAGCTTGGCATATAGATGTCTATCTGTTTCTGGAGCATTTGTTGAAAAGTTCAACTCTATCCTCAATTAAGTTGTATTTGTTTTTCTTAAGTTCTATTTTTATTAGTACATGATTGCACTACAAAATGAATACATAACACAATTTAATTGTTCTTACATCTCTTCCTTTTCTCCTCTCTGCCTGCCATTCCTTCTTCTCAAATATATTTGTATGGGTTCATTTTGGGCCTCAAATTTCTGTTTCATTGATCTACTTGCCTATTTTTGATAACAAAACCACAGCTTCATTTTTTCCCCTCTATTGTTACAAGTCTTGAACTCAGAAAGCAGCAGTCTGCTCTCATTTTACCTTTGTTACCTTGGCTCAAAGTCTAATAATTTTATTTTATTTTCAAAGAATCAGCTTTTGATTTTGTTAATTTTCAATAATGTGTTTGATCATTATTTCCATTGACATGTACTCATATTTTTATTATTTCTATCCTTTTGCTTATTGAATTTAATTTGTTCTTCTTTTTCTACTTTAAAAGTGGAAGCCTATGTAATTGAATTTAACTCTATCTTTTCTCATATATGCTATTAATGCTATAAATTTCCATCTAAATAATACTTTCACTCCATCTCAAAAGTTTTGATGAGTTTTATTTTCATTTTCACTTCGAAGAAATATTTTTTTAAATTCCTTTTGTGAAATTTTCTATCCTATTTTTGGGGAGGATCTACAAATACTGTTTATCTATAAGTATTTGGGGATTTCCTAGCTATCTTTCTGTTAATGATTTCTAATTCCATGTGTTCTATGAGCAAGTTTTGTTATAATTTCTATCTCTTTCAATTTTGGTAAACAGTGGTGTTTTGTTTTGTTTTGTTTTTTTCCTACAAAGTGGCCAGTCTTGGTCAATGTACTGTATGAGCTTAGGAAGGATGTGTATTCTGCTGTTATTGAATGAACTATTCTATAAATGTCAGTCAGATCTAGTTGATGATGATGCTACTGGGTTCAGCTATATCCTTACTGACTTTCTACCTCCTGAATTTATCATTTACAAATAAAAGGTTTAGGAAGAAAAGATGTTGACATAAAAATACACCATCCTTTTTGTGTCTTTTGAAATACTCATTTGTTTTTCTTTTGATCTTTTAAAGAAGTGAACAGCTTGAAGTATTTTTAAAATGTTAATCATTTTTGCATTCATTCTTATCTTTAATGCCACATTTATAAATTTTTGTTTGATTTTTATGATTTTTACATCAGTATTTACCTTTAATTATTCACATTGTTTTTATGGTTTCTCTATATTTTAAATCATTTATGCTGACTACAAGTCAAAAAGAATTGAGATACTTTTCTTCTTCCTGTATGATTTAAAGTAGTAATTACCTGTTTCTTGACATTCTAAAACAATCTGCACCTCATACAATATAAAGTCTTTGACAATGTTTTCGTGTCTTACATGGATATTAGTCAATTTAGACTTTCTGTATCTTTAAATCACTTTTCATCGCACATTTTCCTATAGATCTCAAATTTATTGTAACAGTTATGCAAAGTATTCTAGAGATTTAATTGTAATTCTAAAACTGATTAATTTTGGGTTTACTTCTTTGTTTTTTTTTTCTATCTCTATTATTATGGTATTCTCTTCTGAATCTATCTTTGTTAAAGTCCCATTTTAGGCATCAATTTTTTTCTCTATCTATACTCAATTTCCAAGAGAAGTTAAATTCCATAACATTGAATATATCTCTATACTGCTGAATTCCAAGTGTTGATCTATAGCTGTGATTTTGCTGTACCTAATTAACACATCATTGCAGACGACAAATAAATGTCTCCAATATATCAAAAAATTAGTCTTGATTCTACCTCAATTTCCTAAATCTACTGTTCTCCTAAAGAACAACAGATGTTCCCCATCTCAGTAAAGACAATAACCATTCAATTAGTTTGCTCAGTCAAAAAATCTTGAAATTATCTTTGACCCTTCACCTTGTTTTAAAATCTCATATGCAATTCACCAGTGAGCCCTACCATCACTACCTTCAATAATACTTCTAACTCTACCACTCTAGTTCAAGTGATCATTATCTTACTGGTTTACAGTATATTTCTGGGTGGTGCTTTGTCTTGTTTTATTTCATTTCATTGTTTTTTGGTACCAAGAATCAAACTCAGGTCCTCATACTTGCCTGGCAGGCACTGTGCTGCTGAGCTACATTCCTGGCCCTACAGTATATATATTTTTTTCATGATAAAAGTTTACTATCTTGTCTCTTACTTTAACTATCAGTGATAGATAACAAATATCCAAGGTGAATATGTCAAAAATGAAATTCTTAATTCTACCTCCATGCTCTTTATCTACTATTCTCTTTAAAGTATAATGTTTCCCATCTCAGTGTGTAGGACCACCATGCAGAGAAACAGCACTGCTAGAATAATCCCTTTGCTATTTTTCCACTGTATCATTCCATTTGGCTGGAAATACATCTAGCAAAAACTCAGATGATTCAAGGTTTTTTATGTTTCTTAGGTCAGTTTTTCCCTTGTTCTTACCATGACCTGACATTATATTAGCTGTTTGTTTATTATCTATTAAATCATTAGTATATAAGCTGAGTAAAGTCAGGAGACTCACTTATTTTGTTAATTCCTGTAACATTGCCAGGTACATAGCAGATGCTTTATAAAAACCTGATGAGAAAGTAAATCCATTTGATATATTATTCTAGTACTTATTACATAGTTCTTTATAGAACTTACAGTTGGTTTTCTTCTCTATAGATCATAAGGTTTAAGATTAGATTGTCATATCATAGAAAGGAAAGCAGTATGTCTTGTGGAAAAATAAACATCTTCATTCTCTTTTGCAAGAAAATAAGGCAAAGTTTATGAATAAGAAAAGCTAAAAATGACAGCTTCATTATATCACATATGGAAAAACCAACAGGGAACTATGCAAGAAGATACCTGGATGACCTTCTGATTCTCTTTCCCTCTTTTCCAATATAAAGGTTTCCATCTGCAAGGGAAACTCTTCCAGAAACTGTAGCTTAAGAAAATATGCAACCTGTAGTAGCTGTTACAATTGCCATGTTTATATTGAGTTCTGGATTAGCTAGTCTGAAACACCCTAGTAAACACACACTTTCATCCTGTTTTAAACAATCAGTGTTTCCAGTAAGCAGAGTAAACATGACCTTTAGTAGTTCTCAGAACTTTTCTAAGCCTTTAACTAGCTATTCAACCCCTATGGCTTCCTGTCAGCTTAGGTTTTCAATTAGCATTTTAAATGTTGAAACAACAACTAAACACCTAAGCTATTGTCTAAGAGGACTTCTAAACATAACTTGAAAGATATGGAAAAGAAAAAATCTGACATACGTTTCAGAGTTTAGACTATCATTAAATACAACATATATCCCAAATAGTACACAAGTATGAATGAATCTAACCTGCTAATTCCTTAACTTCCTATTCTATCCTTAACACTACTATTACTCCCTTACCATTTTTTTCCTAGAGGAATTTTGGCATTCACAGTAGTGTAAATAAAAGCATTTTTGCTTAAAGTTATTACCCATGCTCCATAATAATGCTGGATCCTAGAACAAATTCTCCCTGGATACTAAGGGAGGACTGCAATTAAACATTATTGAAAAATTTGAAAAGAATGACAAGGGCACAATATGGTGCATAACAAATTTTAATAAATTTTATTGGTAATTTGAAACATTCCCTGGTCAGCTAATGAACAGGTGACTCCGTCCAAGTAGCTAATCTATAAACGTACACAAAGGTACACAAAGCATATTTGTACCTCAACAAAGTGCATTTTTATATCAGAAAAATAGTAAGTCTTATCAACAATTTTAATTTCTCCTGTAATGGCAAAATAAAGCAAATTTGATTTGTACACTTGTGTCTGCTCTTATGTGAAGGTACTAATAAATAAACAGTATAAAAAGAATGAAAAAAATGACATTAGGAGACATAAATGATGCTTTTATGTCTAGCTGTATCCAGTTGACAGTAATTTCTGAGTTTCAAATGGATGACATACACTATGTTTCAAAATTAAGCCAATCAATCAACAATTAAAAAAACCTCAAACTTTATAGGTTATTTTTATATCAGAAAACATTCTTTTTAACTCTTGAGATGTTATCCTGTTATACTCTTTCTGCTTAATAGCAATTTAAAGCTAAGCTGGAAATATTCAAGAGTTTATCAAGGCTAAGTTAAGATATTTACCCTCCAGAAATGCTACTATTTATCTATTTTTATTCTAAAAGAGTATCATTTTGGCCATTTGATCTAACACTAAATCAAAATACTTTGACCTTCTAATCATAAAATTGCTAACTATTATAGCATGGGACAGGAATTTCTCATTAAAAGTTAAATTTTAGAATTTATTCACAACGAACAAAGGGTTGAATAGAGAATTTAAATTGATATTTATATCAAGCATAACTATGAATACTCAGACCACATTAGAACTCTTGAGTGTGAAGGAGTCAATTTACAGAACTGGTGTTTGTTTCTTTGTTTGGTTGGTTGGTTGGTTTTTGGTACCAGGAATTGAACTTATGACCTTGCACTTGCCAGATAGGCACTGGGCTGTTGAGCTGTATCCCCAAACCTGAGAACTGTTATGTTCTTACATAACACATAAGAGAGTTTAGACAGAGCAAGGTGGTGCACAGCTGTAAGCTCAGCATTTGGAAGGCTATACAAGAGATTGACTGCATATTCAAGGCCTGCCTAAATTATATAGTAAGTTCAAGGCCAGCCCAAACAGCATAACAAGACCCTGTTTCAAAGACCCCCCCCCCAAAAAAAAAAAAAAAGAGTTTAGAAAACATAGGGTTTTTTAAAGACAAAATCTCACTAAGCAGTTCAGGTGATTTGGAACTCACTTTGTAGCCCAGGTCAATCTCAAACCCTCAACCATCCTCCTACATTAGCCTCCTGAGTGCTAGGATTATAGGTGTATGCCACCATTCCAGGCTTGGAATTTGTTTATCTAAGACAATAAACTCTTAATAAATACCTATATTCATGACCAATTATAAATTATTGAAGAAACAAAGTCATAAGATATTACCCTGTTACTTTTTCTGTGTAACAGCAATTTAACGCTCATGAGGCAATATTCAAAAGTTTATTAAGGCTAAGTTACTTATCCTCCAAAAACTGCATTATTAATTTGGTAATACATCAGCAGCATGTTCACTGTATAATACAGCATCTTACCTTAAAAGTTGTGGTGCCATAGAGCTTAGTGGTATGGACTGTTTCTGGAAGCACATTAGTGATATTGGTGATAAATTCTTCCAAATACTTACAGGACTTCTCCAAATGTGTTGTATTGATAATAATCTGAACAAGCTAAAAAATAATAAGCACATATAAAATCATTTTCCCCAGAATAGTTACTTTGAACCTATTAGTACAAGACAAAAAAAAAAAAAAAGGTATAATAGCAGAACTATTCATAATTCTGCAAAGTGTATTTAAAGACAGTGGTTTACAATCTCCTTGTTTCAAGAAGACTTTCATGACCTCTCAAAACATTTTCTATTTCTCTTTACATAGCAACACTTGTCACCCTATTTTAAACATGTTTTGTTCTTTTCTTAAAAACTGTGAAGAAAGCTTATATTCTTTAGCACAATGTCTGCCAAGACATAATTGATCATAAATGAATTAAATAAAGTAACAAGAATGACTGAAATAGTAACAGAAAGTTTCTGATGAAGACGTTAGGAGAAATTTCAGTATATAAAAATATTATGTTGAGAGATTAGGAGAAATTTCAGTATATAAAAAAACTATTGTTAAGAGGAAAAAATGGGTAATTGAAGTCAGAAACAATAAGAGATTAACAAATTATTGATTTTGAGAAAACTTTATAACTTTCCTAAGCCAGTTTCCTTATCTGTAAAAGGTCAATAACAATTGCTAACTCACAATTCTGAAAATTAAATATTCTGTTGTTAATATTATATTTCTTTTCTTATAAAAGAGACCATAAAAAAGTAGAATATTGGGGCTAAGGTATAAGTCAATGAAAGAGTGTGTGTTTAGCATTTTTTAGGCCCTATGTTCAATCCTCAGCAAACACATAGAAAAAAGGACATTAGCTGGGTATGACAATCAGGAAGAATAAATTATTTTCTTTATATAAAACTGAAGTTTGTTAAGAAATTCCAAATTCATTTTCTTACACTATCTTTCCATAAACCTGGAGAAGTAGATAAAATGGGTGTAATCACTACATCTATTTTACCATAATAGAAATAAATAAAAAGTGATTTCCTATCAATCCTATAACCTAAACAGAACCAAAAGGAATCAGCCTGCGTGAATATCTTAGGGAAACAGTTACTTTCAAAACACAATGATGAAGAATAAAGACAGAGAAGTAAAGTTGGGGAAAATATTCTTAGATAAAAAGTCAGGGCAAAAGTGGGTCTAGATATTTACATTATTTTCCAGATCTTATCAAACATGTTCATATGCATCAGCAACCCCTTTCAATTCACCCAAAGTATAAATCTAGAGATTTTGAGCTTTGGATGTAAGACTATAAAATTATTCAAAACAGTAGCTTCTTAATTTTTAGTACCCTAGAGGAAGAAAAAAGCTGAAAGAAACAATTTATCACTTTCGTCTTTTCACCATGTTTCTCCTTCAGCAGACAACTAAAGTCATTTTTAAATATTTAAACTGTCTAAATTAAATCACTCTTCTTCCTGAGTAGGATGGTGGCTACAACAAGGATGTCTTGATGTTGAAGTCAAAAAAGTAAGAGAGTTAATCTGGAGAACAGGAGAATTTCTATTTTAAAATCAGCATTACTTATAGGGAACACATTCTGTCTATCAAAAGAAATTCTAATAATAAGGAGAAATCGTGTCATGTTAGTGAAATAAAAAACAGAGGCAGTCAAAGAGAAAATTGTCCTGTTTTTTTGGATATTGGCAGCTTAAAAAAAAAAAGGAGGCGGTTTCACTGGGTAGAGTAGTAATTTCCTATGACTTTTTAAAGATCTGTCAACACAAAAGATCACCATGAATTACATCAGTTGGCTGTCAGTCACTTTTGAAATGTTTCACTGCTGAGCATAGAATGGACTATTAAAACAGTGCAGGATTACAGTAGATACCATGTCATTTTCAGAGGGAATATTGTCTGTTAAAGAGGGCTCAGTAATATCTACTTCTCATTGACAGCTACCAAAATCCTTACAAGGACATTAACAAGTGTAAAAACAGATGCTTTGGGGATAATTTTGAATTTAAGCATGAAGTGAAGCAATTTCAGATATCAACCATCATCATAGTTTAGGCTCCTTTGATAATATTTTAACTCTCAATTGCCAGTCAAGGCTGTATTTAATACAGTTTCAAGGACACAAAACAAGATGAAGTATTACGTATTTGTCATACAAAATTGTAGAACTGTCCAGAAAAAGAGAGAACTTTAGAAGGCAAAGCGTCATCTTTCACAAGTAAATAACTGAAGTCACTTAAGTTAAAAACCATTAGGAATTAGAAAATTTATCAGTCTCTCCTTCTTAATACCAGAGAAAATCTACTGAGAAAGTCACTGAGTACAGTGTGGACAGCACTTCTCCAATCCTGCTCCAAACACTGAAGAGAAAATGAAGCCATGATGACAGTTGTTCAATTCTTGACAAATTCCAGAAAAGAAAATATTTGAATCATTTTCAGTAGTTTAAAATTAAACCATAAACCTCAAGAAGAGGTTTATATTCCCAATTATAAATTACCTGTCTATATTATAAAGGCTTTTAACTTGTTTTGAACATAAGAAAACTCAGTACATTAAAAACTGAAAAAAACAGCAGGCAGTCGTGAGTTCGATCCCCGGTACCGATAAAAAGGAAAAAGCCAAAAAAAAAAAAAAAAAAAAAAAACTGAAAAAAAAGAAAATAACCTGAAGCAAAGAAAGGACAAGTCACATGGTACTAATGACTCCAAACTACTGGACTTTCCAGAAAGCAAAGAATTAAATGATGGTATTTATTCTATTTTATAAAAATTAGTTATCCCAAGACTTCAATGTATTTTATCTCCTTTGACTCCAGTGACAATAAGGAAAGCTGTATCAACTATTAATTTTGTAACTCCTAAAATACTAAATATATGGAACTACTAGTCCTGAAATCCAAAGTTTGGATACAATTTCTACTTCACAAGAGTTCAGTATAAAAGTTATTTTATTTAACATAGTATGAGCAGTATCACTGATGTTAACAAAAAGGGCTAGAGACTTCCAGGAGGATGGCAGAATTGTGAACAGTAGAGAAACAGCCTCTCTTGATATTCCAGATGCTGGAATGCAGTAAGATGAGGAAGTCAAGGGCTCTTGGAGCCCTCACTTGCTACATGGGTGGCTAAACTACAGACACAATGGAACTATAGGTGACCCCCAAAGGATTCTGTTGGAGAAAAGCACCAGTGGCACAGAAAACAGTGGACTGCAGTGGCTGGTGAGTATTTGGGTTCAGATGTCTCCCAAGAGATGGTGATGGCCAACTGTCATCCTGGAGATGGGCCAAATGAGTTAGGAACTCAGAGCAGCTGCAGGTTGTCTTCAACTAGCAGCTTTCAGTATCAGGGTGAGGCAGAACTGAGTTTAAGAAGGCAGGACATTGAGGAGCTGCGTTCAAGCTGGTAAGAAGCACACAGAGTGCTGCAGGCTCAAAAAATTGGGTTCCAGCCTCATAGCCAGAAACCAACCTGCACTTCAGTGGAATAAATGATGCAGGTTTCCTGGGATTGTCCATTATTCAAGCATAAACCTACTACTGGCTTATCAGGATTCTGGGCTTTGTCTGTACACTCTGCCTACCAGTAATGGCAGAGATATGCCCTGAAGTAGACTTTTTTTTTATTCTATATTCTTTTTTGGTTTTTTTTTTTTTTTTACTCTTTTTTCGTAATTATTTTTTTAATGAGTGTGAACACTGCTTATAGCTTTTTTGTTGTTCTGTTCTTAGTTTTATTTCTTCCTTTTTTTTTCACTACTCTCTTCTTCACCAGTTTCCCAAAGTTCAGGTAATCTCCCATTGTTCTCCAGCTTTGCGTCTAATATATCTTTTTTTGTATTTCTCTATTTTTCCCTATATGATCTTTTAAGTTTTAAGGCTTATTTTAAAACTTATTTCAAACTGCTCAGTGGATTGGTGCCCTGAAAGTTATTCATATTCACTATCTTTCATCATTTAAAAACTAAGATGATAAATGTTATGCCAAAGAAATAGTAAATATATTCTAAATAATTAAATAATAGCATAAATAAAATATGATATATATCTAATGTCACATTACTCAGTAATACTGACTAATTTATATTAGTAAGATATTTCGATATCCTATTCTAATCTTTTGATTTCTTTTAATTACATTTTCAATTTTTGTACTAAACATTGCTTGCCTGTAGTCCTCTTTATAATAACATGTTGACAATCAACACTTATTAACTATGATCCAGACACTATTGAAAGTTACATAGCATGCTCAGTTAATCCTTACAACAATACTAAGAAAATACATGTCACACTATTGTCTTCATTTTACCAAAAAAAGCCAAGTAATTTGCCCAAGAGCATGGCAATTCAGAGGAGGTAAGTTTTGGAAATCAGTTTTCATAAGAATATGTACCATCACACAGAACTCAGCTGTTCTGTCCAAAGACCTGAAGAAGACAATCTGTGTTAGGACACAACAGTCTCTATTAGTAATCAATTGTTCTGCATATAAACCTAAAGGAAGTAGTTCCAAAAAAAAAATTAGCAGTTCTTGCTGAATGAACTAAAAAAAAAAAAAAAAATCACAATAAGTTTGAGAGAGAAAGTTCTGTAGGTGCCACTTCTATAGGTATTGAATCTGGTCAACATGGGAAAGGAAAGAAATCATGAAAAAGAAGAGGAAAAAGCCAGTGTGCAGAGAAAGAAATAGAAGAACATATCAACAAACAAAGAATGAAGATAGCATATAACCCCAAGACAAAATAGGGAAACAGACATTAGTTTATGGAAACGGTTAAGTCCTAAGATATTACCTGGCATCTTGAAGCAGGATTGTATGAATTTTGTATGCTTATAATAATCCCATTGTTTGAGTGAGTTTCTGCTCTGTGACACAAAGTCATCTGAAACTCAAACAATTTTCATTTTACTATGGACCTCCTGTAAACTCTCTGTCTTGGTTGGGATGAAATAATTACGTCAATATGAAAGACAGTACAGTGTAGTAAAAATGAAAAGATCTGGACAAAAGAAAAGCCCAGACTTAAGTCCCATTTCGACTCTTGCTAGCTATATGACCTTTGGCAATCTCCCTGAACTTTAATTATGAATTCTATAAAATGGGAATAATAACACATGATATGCCACTTCAGATGTTACTGTACTAAATGAAATTGTATTTGTGAGTAGGCTTTGAAGCATATAAACTGCTCCACAAATGTTACCGATTATCATGATACTTCCAGATGTGAACTCACTTTAGGTACTCTCTTTCAAAAGGTGAATAATATAGCTATTCAAAGATTTTCTGGTTGGTAAGGAAAAAAATCATTTCATATGTATGTGTCTATACATGTACACACCATCATAATGGCCAGAAGACCCTAATATGTATGAATCTCCCTTCATACATAAGCAAAGATACTGATGAGGACAGTATATTTGCAAAAAAATCGCCTGATGTCTTAGAACTGCAGTGGAAGAGTGCCATGCATGAATTATTATATGACAGTTCCCTGGATAAGCTCCCCTTGGTTTTTCCTATCATTTCCAGATTTGAATAGTGCCTTGGTAATGGACATAGGGTTCAAGAATGCCCAACCCAAGAAGTTTGGTCTTCCTCTTGTCACAGTAAACTTATGGCATAGCCACAACTAAACAGAAGAGTCTTCTGAAGTCATAGCTATTTCTATCCCACCATGTCCTTGCAAGGTTTCTTCTTCTAAACTGGTTTGTAAGAGATTGCTAAACTGAACTACCTAAGAACACTTATATCAAATGTGATAGGGCTGGGCATCTAACTGCTTTCTAGAGCCCTTGCCTCACATTTGAAAGGCCCAGTGGTTCACTCCTTAGCATAATGAATAAATAAGAAGCAAACCTGTTGTCCCAGTTGGGACAGAAAAGCAAAACAGTATATTCTAATAAAAGCAGGAACATTTTCACTCCCACTTTCTTTTTTATAGACTTCCTAATTACAAACAGTGGTCCTATTTTCAAATACATGAAGGCAATGCCTAATGATTTTCTATCAGTAATAGAAACTGTAAAACTGGGGGAAGTATCCTAAATCATGTATGTCTTTGAATTTTCAAAAAAAAATTCAATATAGGAACTTAGTCACTGCTAATGCCCTACCTTATAATATAATATTTTTAATATTAATGCAGAAAATAAAATGGTATTATAAAATCAGAAATACATGCTCACCTGGTTTCCAGCTGTCTTTACCTATCAGGCAGTATCATTAACCATTGCTGAATTTTACCATAATCCTTAACAGTATATATTTTTAAATGTCAATTTTTCCTAGAACAATTGACATTAAAACTACATCACTCCTATAGGTAAAACAGATGGTCAACAGCCTTTCCTTTTTACTGTGGAAAAACATTCCTCCAAGTTCTTACTTTTGGCTGTATAATCTCAGTGAATGACAGATTGAGGTTACCATACAATCTTGGGTTTCCAAAAGAAAGAAAATGTCATATCTTTATAAATTTTAGGACTACACATCAATGGGCCAGTATTTTAGTATGCCAAGATACTGTTCCAACATAAGTACAATTTCAAATCTTCTTTTATTAGACTGTATAAACTACTGCCTTTTTCTCATGTTTCCACATCACAAACCCAGCATTTTGCCAAACAGATTATATGCTGAGAGAGAAACTCACCAATTGCATACATGAGAAAACACAAAAACAAACCATGAGTCTAATATTAATCAAGGATTATGAATGCCAGTATTGTTAACATCAATCATTGATGCAGGCAAAACGTACTTTATATTCTGTTCGGTAAATGAATTACCATTCATTTAGACATCGAGTTGATGTTGAAGATATTCTGCAACCAAAAGTTTTTCATATGATTAACAGCAAGCGTTACAAATTCATTCCAAGAGTATCAGAAAGGAAAACAGTTAATCATATATAAACAACATAAGAGGGAGAAAAAAGTGACTTCTTAGAAAAAATAATGGACTACTCAAAAGTCAGAAAAAGAACAACAGATTTTGCATTTTCAACTACAGGAACCCATAAACAAAAACATAATAGGCCATGTAAAAACTTTTAATTAATTCACACATAGTACCCAGAGCTAAGGACATCTGTTCACATAAGGGCTTGACTGCCATCATTAGCAGCAGCCTTACCTCAGTAAGTCCAATGTTCTTCCTTTTAATGACATTTTGCAGAGAGTTGCTCAGAGTCCTAGTAAGCAACAGGTTTGTTGATTTACGAATCATGTCATCAACTTCAGTAGAGCTGAAAAAAAATATCAAGTCATTTATACCAGCTAGAATCATTTTGGCAAACTAGGTGATACTGCCACATGTAGCATTCATGATAAAATAATAGTAGCACAGCAGCAGCAAATATTAGTATGTGGCAGAAAGCATGCCATTATTATCAAACTTGACTTTTATATGGCTAAAAAGAGGCATTTTTTCACTTTGCCTTAATTTTTGAAAATTATTGAACTGTTTATGGAGTTCTAACAAGATTTCTGCATTCTAGAAGTACCTTAAGGATGTCACCCCATTATCTCATGTTTATACAGTTTCAGACAAGATAATTCACATCATTATGTCTGTAGGTTGCATTTTTCTGAATGCCTTATCTTCACCTTTCCCTTTCACCAGTATGATATGATATCTTATTATTTTTGCCTGCTTGTTCTTTCTGTTGTTCATCTGGATTAGGATTCTCAATTCTTAAATCCCTGGGTCTGACGCCTTTCATTATTTTTAGCACATTCTCAGCCACTGATTCTCAGGTATTTTTAATTTCCTGCTCTCCCAGTCCTCTTGGGTCTGCTATATAACATTACTCCACAGATCTTGGATACTTTGTTTCCTCCCAGTTCTCTTTCCATCCTCTTTCATCTCCTTCTCTTTCTGCTCAGGATATTTGATTGCCCTTTCACTTCAGCTTTCTGAAAGCTCCAGAAAGTTTTAATTTTTTAGTTGTTTCTTTTTTCCATTGTTAGAGACAAAACTGAAAATATCTCATAGCAATGAATTTCTTTAAAAACAAAAAAGTGCTGAGAATGCTCATGTATGAACATAGAAGAAAAGACTAAAAGAAAAAACTCCACATATAAATAGGAAACTACCTTATGGTAGAGTCTGAGGTCTTTTACATTTTTTATCTTTGTGATACTCTGTACTTTTCAAATTCTTTATAAAGACGTAGTGTCATACTGAAAAGAATCTATGTGAATATGTGTATATTCTATTTTATTAAAGTGCAAATGCTAAAAAAGTATGTTACCAGGGGCTGGGGATTTAGCTCAGCGGCATAAACGTCTGCCTTGCAAGCAGGCAGTCATGAGTTCGATCCCTGGTACCGATAAAAAGGAAAAAGAGGGGAAAAAAAAAAAAAGTCTGTTACCACAGGAAGGTCATATCCTGCTAAAAAACATTTTTCAAACTTAAAGTTTTGTATCTTCAGAAGTCTTGGAATTACGTATTTTTCATTATTTATAATGATTTTCAGCATCTTCTGTCCCATATAAGAGAAAATTCTTGCATGAAAAAAGGTCAACTTCATGTAATCAAATAATTAACCTATAAGCTTTATGAGAATCTCAATGCAGTGATTCTCTTGTTTTGAGAATCTTGTATTTTGTTTTTATAATATTGTGCTACTAATGTCAGCCTTTATTCTCAGACAGTTATGATCCACAAAGTGATCCCTGTCACTTCAGGTTATAAGGTAAATTACTCTAGAAGACAAATGTCAACCACAAAGTAAAAGGCAGCTACAAAATCCCCCGGAGTTGAATATTTAATTTAAATTGTCTGTGTGAAATATGTCAATGGGAGTTTTCAGGCAAAAGCATAATAAAATATTCAACCAAGAAAAAGGTCTTGTCAGCAATGCTGAAAATAGAAGTACTTTGGCAATTCTTGGAAATAGCCTAAATGCTTTTGCATAAAGGGATGTGTATGAGTTTCTGGAGGTTTGGGGGAAGAATGTTATAGCTTGTGTCCAGATGTTGCCCCAAAGCTTCACACAGTCATAGGTGAGGCTTTTTTCAGAGGTGGCAGATCTACAGTGTATGACACTGGGATTGATTCAATGCTAGGCTCAACAGCACTAGGATTAAGGGTGTAAGTGCTATGCACCCTAAGCTTCACACAGTCATAGGTGAGGCTTTTTTCAGAGGTGGCAGATCTACAGTGTATGACACTGGGATTGATTCAATGCTAGGCTCAACAGCACTAGGATTAAGGGTGTAAGTGCTATGCACCCTAAGTAGCCTGGATAAAATATAAGGATTAGAAAGAGCTGTGGTAATCCCTTGATTGCTTGCTCTTGCCTGTCTGCTTGCTATCAACTATTTCTCCTCTATGATGTCCCTCTGCCATGCCACTCTGCCTTGTAGCCAGCTACCTATGGACTAAAACCTCTAAAAACTATGAGCCAAATAAACCTCCTCCCTCCACAAAAACAGGAAAGAAAGAAAGAAAGAAAGAAAGAAAGAAGAAAGAAACAAAGGATATCTGAATAATTCACTGATATTATCACTTTATTATATTACCTTTCCTCCACGTAAGTTCAAAAAGCCATTTTACAATGAATTCATAATAATTTACCCACAGTGATACACCTAATACCACCATAAAGACCATTCTCCAACATTGTGTTACTTGGTCAGTGGATGGGGAAGTGAGGACTATGGGTTTAGATAGAAATCAGGGAGGGAGATTGTTTTAGTATGTAACTTTCAAAGATAGCATCATTTTCAAGAGAACTTTTTGCTGAGGATAAGGCTCAGTGGTAAAGTGCGTGCCCAGCATATGCAGAGTCCTAAATTCAATGCCTAGCACTTAAGGGGAAGGAAGATTTCCTAATAAACTAATTTCACTTTCAGAGAAAAAGAACAAATTAATAGTGCAAATATCATTTTTTTCATAAGAACAGTTATCAAACAATGACTCAAACTAGTTACAAATTCTGTTACTTCGGAGTAGCCTGGCATCACATTTTACATTCACTCATTCATTTATTCATTATTTAGTTAGATATAGGAGATGTCTTTTTTCAAATATCATCAGTTTGTGCTTGGAGTGGCTCTTTTGTTGCTCTCATACATGTCCAGCACATATCATTAATTGTCTAGTTCTTCAGTTCAACTAGATACTTCTTGAAGACAAAAATACATGTAAAGCCTTCATATCCTCACTACCAAGCAGCATCTAACAAGTAACAGGTTAGCCATAATAGATAGCAAATAAACTCATATTCATACAAAGAAATAAGGCTGCAATCTCAATAAACAGAAAAATTGACCCAAGTAGGGCAATAACTGTGTTTCTAAAGGATTTTAATTGTTATTCTCCAGGTCTTAAAATTTTATCAGTTAGGCTAAACTTAATTTTCACAGAATTTTTATGAATAGAAAGTATTAAAGTGCAAATATATAAAGAAAATGGTGGAAAAAAAGATAGGTAAAATAAAGGTTAAAAATATTAAAAATTACCATATGTCCCTTTCATTATAACTTTAAAAATAAGCACTGTCATGCAATGAAGGACAAAGACTTTCAATGTTAGAGCTGCATGGAATACAAAAGTTTTTCAGAAACTTTAGAGAGTGAGTCACAGTCTCAGTATTCATTGCATTTCCACTGTTTTTGATTATTTCATGTTATACCTTAGATGAAGATCTTCTGAAAACTTCAGACAAGCGTAGATAAATTCTTTAATTTGACTGTAAACTTTTGGCACAAATTCAGAGAAAGGAAACTTTTTTGGGAATGGTTGCTGTAAATGCAAGAATTAATGAAAACAAGTCACAAACATACATTCATTATACTTATAAATTATTTAAAATGCAAAGGCAACTTGCTTCCACATTATGCTTAACAGTCTCAAACTTAAGAAATGTCTCTAAAACATTTTCATTTTCTAACAATTAAAAGAGTAACATAAATTTAAATAAAACAATAACCCAAATTTTCTTCAACATGTCAAGGTTTAAAAATTGTGGCACATACTCAGCAACAGGAAAAAGGAATAAACTATTGGTACATGCAACAACTTTGATGAATCACAAAAGCTAGTCAAAGAAGTCAGTCTTACTACTGTATCATCTCTTTTATATTGTACTCTCGAGAAGAGAAATGTAAATGGATGGCTTTCAGAGGCTGAGAACTGGCAGTGGAGAAAGGGAAACCACAAGGAAATTGTGGAAGATGATGGAGCTGTTCTGTATTATTATTGTGGTGGCAGATACAGGACTTACTGTGTTGGTGAAACCAACAATTAAATACCCAAAAATATAAATTTTACTATATATTTTTGGAGGACACTACTTTAAGAGTACAATAAAAGCACACATTTAAAAATGCAATCCAAAGTGAAACACTCCAGCAATCCACAGAGGCGTAATATCATCTACTAATTTCCGTATCAGAAATTTCTGTTCTTCTATTCTCCAAAAAAGAATTCATTGAAGGTGCTTTCAAATTCTAATCCACTGAGGTGAAGGTTACAAGTTTCGATGACAGTGATCTAGTAAAACATCAAGATGTCCAAACAACCATACAAGTTTACTTTAAAGTAATCCTTACCTTTTCCAGCTCCGTATCTTGGAATGGGAATTGTCCTACCACTTTTTTATACATATCTTCACTTGTTACTGGAATGGGACTATAATTGTCAGAATCAAGTATGCTTCTATTAAAAAATAATAATGGAAGGGAGAGAGAAAAAGAGATAGTACTTAATTATAATCTAGTTTTCTAATGGACTATACTGGATATATATATCACACAAGTTCAAATGAATATTTTCAAGTCCTTATTACTAAGTTCCTTCTTTAATAAAGCTCTTTGCTTTTGAGTAAGGCCAGGTTTTAAATGAAGAAAAAAAAAATTATGACCTTACAAATGAAACACAATTTTAAATGTGATTTCTCAGTATGTAAGATATACAAATGGGATATAAAATGCTATGGCAGCTAAGAAGTAAATGAAAAAGAATATATGCTCTAGAAAAGAAAAGGATTGCTTCTACCTATTTTAGTAAGATATATTTGAATTTGATTATTTTAATCTTATGCTAGATACTCTATTATACCTAATTGGCAGGTATAATAAAACCCAAACTATGTCACTTACTTAATTTACTGTTCTGTATTCATCAGGTTTTTCTCAATTTATAGGTTCTCCCACTTAACTATGCTGTGGAGTCTCTAAAAGTAAAATCCAGCCTACCAAAATCAAAATAGAAACCCACTGAAGGCACCATACCAAAAGCACCTGAACTGTAGACACACTATGTTAGTGGCTTTCAAAATTCTTATAGAGATAACCATTTCCTGAAAACAATTATCACCATTAGCTAAATCTAGATTTGGGAAATATAAGTATTTTTATTAATACGATTTGGATGATCAAGAACACATTAATAAATTGTGAAGACAAAAAGTAAATGAATCTTAAAACTATAAGAATCTGAAATAAATCAAGTAAAGCTTCATACAATAGGCAAAATATTGCTTAAAGAAATAAAGATTTAAAAAGAGAAGGAAGTGGCATAGGGTACGTGCCAAGCAAGGTTCCAATAGGTATTTGTGATTGTGAGATATAAAAGAATGACTTTCTTATTATACACATTACAATAACTACTTAAGTAACAGGCTTCAAATATTGCACTGAATTATACCTATTCTTTGGCTATAAATCCAAAAGATGAAGGATAACATAAGTAAGTACACAAAAAAATCCCAGGCATGCATAATGGCACATGATTGGAATCACAGCACTCTGGCAGTATAAGGAGGAAGATCACAAGTTCAGGCCCAGTCTGGAAACTTGAGTCTTAGCAAGGCACCATTTCAAAATAAAACCATAAAAAAGGTCTAGAGGTGCAACTCAGGGCAAAGACCCTGAGTGCAATCTGTAGTAACACATACAAATTTCCCAAACGTTAAATTGCTCATAATGGCTCAAATTCGACTCTCCTATAAATGAGCTATAAAATAGTTACTAATTCTCACAGAAAACTAAAAAACAGTAGGGGCATAAGATGATCTACATGAAATGAAACAATGAATATGACATTTATATAAGGTTACAAAAATGTCAAAATAAGACTGAGGTATGTCTTAACACACTAGATACCAATACCCTGAGATTAGATACTTTAGAGAACGTAATTTGGGATATCATTACAATTCATGTGAACTCTGAATCATAACCTGGAATAGCTAGATAAATACAAGCCTTATGTAAATGTTTATTACATCTTAAAAAACTGTACACACAGACATGTGCATACACATATGCACATTCACACATGTGACTGCAATGCCTCACCTGAAAATGCCTGCCCACTTCTTCAGCAGTGTTTCACTGTACTGGTCTCTGATTTCTAATAGCATGTCAAAAAGTTGATTTACAGGAAAACCATACACCTGAAATAAATCAGAAAACAACTTCATATTTCAAGGTGACTTTTTAAAGCAAAGTAAGAGAGATTAAGCACTGAAGGACATTCTGTTCTTTGAACAACAATTTAAACAAAAGCATCATAGTACAATCTTTCATTTTCAACTAATATTTACTGATTTACTCTCAAAAATTAAAATATATATGTTAAAATGATTAAGTCGGGAAAAAGGAAACAATAAAAATCAAAACAAATATACTCTCAACTAAATTCTCCCTCTACCTTCACATGTAACTCTTACTACCTAGGATGAATGACCTTCAGAGTAGGTAAAGAAAAAGTGCCAATGCTACCAATCGCACCCATATCTAATGTGATCCTCCTAATCACAACTATTTAAAGACTAAACTAACTAAGAGCATGTTTAAATAAGAGCATATTTAAAAACTAATGTAGAGAGTGGTCCAATTAATACATTTGAGCCGGGGACATAAGCTCAACGGCACAAGCGCCTGACTGGAAAGTGTGAGGTCATGAGTTCTTGCTAACAAAAAAAAGAAAAAAAAAAAAAAAAAAAGAAAAAGAAAAACATTTGATGTAAAAGGAAAAAGGAGCATTTATGAGAATATAAAGGATGAAGATGAAGGTCAGGAAATAACTATGAAGAGATAACAAGATGCAGCTAGGGAGGAGGGGAGAATTAGACACTAAAATGTACTCATCCAAACTTTTGTGGACAATAAAAAGATTTAGAACTGATGAATACTAATCTAGATGAGCATATGTAGACAATTTACCTACCTGGAGTGTATCAGCAAAAAGCACAATGAGGTTCTTCAAATCTAACACAAGGTTTGGATCAGAGCAGTAAGACTAAAGGACATTTAAAAAAGAGAAAATAATCGTAAGTATAAAAAATAAAACTAAATTTTTATTGATTCAATTTTTTATTGCTCAGCTTGGTCAAGGCTCTCACAAATAGGGTTCCATCCTTTCCTGCAACATAATATCAAAAGATTCAACCACTGAAGAGCTAAGTAGAAAGAGGTCAGTGGCCATGATCTACATTTTTAACATAGCAATTCAAAGCTATACACCCAAACTCTGTTATGGTTTATATATAGATTCCCCCGATAGCCTCAAGCTTGGTGATTGGATCGTGTGGTCCTGATAAATGTGATGTTGGGAGGTGAGGATTAATCCAAGGAGATGGGTCACTGGAAGGTGTGGGTTAGACGGTATTATCTCCCTCACTTGGATCCCACTGCCATAAACTGTTTTTTTGTTGTTGTTGTATTTGTTTTTGTTTTTGTTTTTGTTTTTATGCCATTATGCCCTGACCAGGAGACAGCCAACTATGGGCTGAAACCTGGAAAAACTGTGAGCCAAAGAGAAATAAACACAAATATAGAAAACAAAAATTACAAGTAAGGCTCATCTACAACTTCATATGAATAATTCTGAAAACGGATATGGAAGTGTTTCTATGGCCAAGATTTAAAAAATGCTATTATTCTAAAAATTCATTGATTTCAATACTAAAATTTTCTCATTTACAATTTTGTTATTTGTTCCATACTTGATCTTTCAATTGCTGAGAGAGGTGCCCTGAATTTCTTCAAATTAATGTAGTTCATCAGCTTTTCTTCTTACTACTAACGGTTTTGTGCATACTGTCCCTTGAAAAGGCTCTTATCACTTGGGTGGGCTAATACTAACTGTAACACAAAATATATCTCTGTTTACTCATTTGAGGTTCATCTACTTCAATTCTACTTCCATCTAAAAATATTGCTATTTCTGAGTCCCTTTTTCATTTTTAATAATTAAGTACTAATAATTTACTAATACCCAAATATCATACCATAAAACTTTCTCTGATAATTCCTAGAATTATCCACATATTTGGTCCTATTCAACCCAACTAATCTTAAGACTTCTAATGGCAATTCTTTTGAGAATTTCTATCTTTCTTTCTTTTATTTATTTTTTTGGATAAGCTACTTTTAATCTTACATTGATCAATAATTTTTATACTTCTATCAACTACTTATTTAAAATAACCTGAATTCTCCATTAAAATACTTTTTTAAGATGCTGTGCCTTTTGTAGGAATTATTAATACCACTAAGCATTACAAATGATGAAATATTCAGCTATTTGGATTTATCATTGGATGTTTCATACTTTTTGCATACATTTTATTTAATCTGATCCCATCTTATATTTTGGATTTTTTCTCATGCTTTGGAGAATACCATTAAATATCATTCAAAATTAAGATAATGATTTTGAATTCTCACATTTGAAAACACCTTTCTTTGCCCTCTAACTAAAATGTGGAAATTCAGATATAAAAATTTCTATTTCTCTCATATCATTTACTCTGTGTGGCAGAGTGAAGTTTCAAGTTCACTGGCGATGCAATCTACCCCAGGAAATGATGCAACATACTTCAGAGGAGTCTGGGTGAGTCACGGCGGCATAGATTTGGTATCTTCGTTTGTTCCCTTACCTTTTTCTCTCTGGCACTTCCTGTGCTCTATTTCCTGACTGCCATGAAGTCAGCAGCATTGCTTTGGCATGCCTCCCTATGTCACTATCTTGCAGCCAGCCAATTATGGACTGAAACTATACCAAGTTTATCTTCTACTCCTTTAAACTATGTATGGTGAGTACTGTGTCTCAGCAATGACAGAGTTGACTAACACTGTGCTTCACACTTGATGCATCCTAACAACTTTAAGAAACTTTTTCTTTTTATTGCCAAAATATTTCCTCCTGAATTTTTCAACTTTTAGTGTCAGTTTATAAAAAAAAATAAGTGATTTTATAAAATAATTTTGTATCCAAGAAACTTGACAAATTCAACAATTACAATGTCTTCTATTATTTCCTTTTAATTTTCAATATATCAAACCATATCAACAGTAAAAATAAGAGCTTTATTTCTTTCACAGGTTTATGCTTTTTATTTATCTATCCTTCCTTGAAGTAAAACACAAAAGAGAAATAGTAACTAAATCTTATAAATTATAGATTTTTGAGGATGGCTTTCATTATGGTAAGGTAAAGGAAACTCTCATGTGTTTCTCATTTACTGAGGGATTATACCATAAATTTATGGAATTTTATTACTTTCCTATATCATTAAGATAATTATACTAAATTTGTCATGTAATCTACTGTGAATTATACTTAATAGATATATTAGTTACATTCTCATTCCTGGGACAAAATATCCGACACCCATGAGCCAAAGAAGGAAAAGTTTGTTTTGCCTTACAAGTTTATAGACGTTTCAGTCAATAGTCAAGCTAGCTCCAAGGCAGGGCAGCACAGCAGAAGAGAAACAGTTGGACGGTATTATCTCCCTCACTTGGATCCCACTGGCATGGTAGGCACAAAGAAGTAAGTCTTTCTTTTTCTTTCCTTTTTATTCTATCACGGTAACAAGGCTACTGGTTAGTGCTACTCACAACTAGGGTGGTTCTCTTCCCTCTTTAGTAAATCCATCTTCCAAATCCAGAAGTATGCTAAACCAATCAGTGCACTAATCCAGTATCTCAGCCCCATGAGCTTACCCTGAGCACATGAGGCTTTGAGAGGGCACATTTAGATATAAGCCGTAACAATAGACTTTAAAATACTGAATTAAGCTTGCTTTAATTCACTTTTAATGTTTGTAAATGGCTAGAATCTCTTTTAAAATACTATTATCAATCATATTAGCAGATCTTTAACTTTTGAATCATTATGGAAACAAACTTTCCTTTCCTCTGCTATATTATTTTTTTAAATATATAGATACTCTTTACTTATAAGGGGTGTATACCCTGATATACCCATTATATGTTGAAAATACTATAGTTCAAAAAAAAACATTTAATACTGCTAAAAAGCATCCTCATCTAGCAATATAGTACAATACACTGTATCAGTTGCTTACCCTCCTGATGGTATGACTAACTGGGAGCTACAACTCACTACCACTGCCCAGCATTACATGTGATGTACTACATACACTAGCTGAAGAAAGGATAAAAATTCAAGATTTGAAGTATAGTATGTACTAACGCATACCACTCTCACACCATTCTGAGCTTGACTTTTATTCTGTTTGGTTTTGGTGGTACTGGGAAAAAGCGAATTGCAGTCACATGCTGAGAATAAGCCAGCTGAGGATAAAGGTAGAAGGCAGCCCTCCATATGCTAGAAGAAAGCTGTCACTGAAAGGCAATCGCCTTAACATGCTAAATTCTGACTTCCCGCCTCTAAAACTGAAAAAAAAAAAAAAAAAAAAACTTTCTGTTGCTTAAGCCACACCTCGTCTATGTATTTTGTTACAGCACCCAACATTTTCCAAGACAGCAGATAATCACAATAATGTTAATAGAAATAAGTCATCTTCAAATAAAGATAGAATCCAACCTCATAACCTATGCTAAAATAAACATTTTATGTTTGAGACTTATCAGTAAAAAAAAAAAAAGTATAGGAATACTAAACTTAAATATGAACAAGTAATTTGTTATTCTTTGTGACAGGAAAATACAAATGTCAAAGTGGAAGATAAATTTACATAAACATTTTTAGAACTCCAAAAAAGCTACAGAAAACAAAAGTAAATACAAGAGAATATGAAACTAAGAAAGAATATTTACAAAATACAGCAGAATGGAAGTTAACTTGCAGACTAAAGACTTACAACTATGTTTTATTAAGCAAAAATAAAATAGTTTAAAATCTATTAACTCAGAAGTATATTATTTTAATAACTATGTTCATTTATTTCCTCTCATGTTGACACTATTTTAAAACAAAATTTCTGCTCCCACATTTACATTACTTATCAGTAGCTTCTATCTAAATATCTAATATTGTAAGAATATTAGACTTTAAGGAAAGCATGGTTTTCAAATGGAAAATTTAGACTAAAGCAAAAGTGTATTTTTCTTAGTATTTCAAAATATTATCCTATACAAACTATTCTGTTTAAACATACTCATGGTTTTAAATATAAAAATTAATTTACTAATAGCTTTTTTTCTTTTTTTTTTTTTTGGGTATCTTAGTGAATCTTATTGTCTTCAAAGTAGTTGCCTATGTCTTCAAACTTGATACTATCATATAGAATGGAACAGAGTCTAATCAGTCAAAACAAGATCGTGGGAGTACTACAGGACTTCAAAACAAGTTAATAGGAAATCGAAAAGAGTTACTATTTATATATCCTAATTTTTTTGAATTTTTTCTTTAATTAAGACAAACATAAGAAATGACTAAATAATTTTTTTTTGAAACAATAAGGGGGAGATTGAGATAAAACAGGACATAACAATATAACAATAGAGGTCACAGCATGACTGTTTCAATAACCTAGTACTTCACCACCTTATAACCTGACTTAATAGTAGTTACCATAGTGTCTTTTTCCTTGAAATATTTGGGTAAAACTTCATATACTCTAGCTTCAAATATTTTCATATCAAGAAGCCCAGAATAAAGCCTTTCTAATTAATGAGTGAAAACTTTATAAGGCTTCAAGGCCACCTAATGGGGAATCATGATTACCACATATTTTTATATATTTGAATCATTACTTACATTAGGGAAACTATTCGGTATTCACACATGCGAGATTGATTTATATCACTTATGAGTATGGTCTCAAGCTGCGCCCATTTATTGATAAATATCTCAATGTGATCCTTCTTTATAGCCGAATAATACTCCATTGTATAGAAATACCACAACTTTTTTATCCATTCCTCAGTTGATGGGCACTTGGGTTGTTTCCAAGATCTGGCGATTACAAATTGTGCTGCTATAAACATAGGTGCACATAAATCACTGTGGTATGATGCTTTCAG